GGGGGGGGAATGAGCTGATAGCAAGGCCTCAAGTAGAAAGAAAATGCTCTGAAAATGATGATGGCAGCATACGTGCAAATGTGCTTGACACAATGGATGTATGTATGGATTGTGATAAGAGATGTAAGAGCCCCCAATAAAAGTATTTAATAATAATAAGAAAATAGCTAACTCCTTTCCACAATTCTCCATGTGTTCACTTACTCTGTCCTGACAGTCAGCCAGTCAGCTCTGTCTTTCTAGCCACCACGCCCTCACAATCAAGTCAAACTATTTAATTATTTTCTCCTCTCCTAAATCATTCTACCTAGCCATCCCCTATCAGGCCAAGCACCGTGTCATCCCTCCACCTGCCCATCCATCCTGCATGAATTCATTACAGCCAATGATCCAGCCACAGCCGTTCTATCAATCCAATGATTCCACTCATACATTCCCCCTCCCCATGTGCTATCGATGCGGTACTTCTAACACTCGCCCCATTTTCTCTATGACAGATCCGTCTTCTTCCCCCAAACCCACCATCCAAGCTTCAGCAACATCCGTCCAGCTGGGGGAGAACTTCAGTGTGACCTGCACGGTCCTGGGGGAGCCTGAGATTGCAGTAGACTTCAGTTGGGAAAACCCGGGCAGAAGGTAAGCAGGGGCTAAGAGGCAGTCATGTGTGTAATGCGGCGATGAGGAATAAGGGCCAGAATGACCAGGCAAAGCAGAAGCCCAGCCTGCCTGATGGGCCCGCATGACAGTGCTGAGGCCGCACTGCCTCTCTGAGTGACCTTAGGCCTGGCCACTTCCTTTTTCTGAGCCTCAGGTTTCCCATTGGTCAAGTGCATAGAGCTATTTCTCAGATTAGTGTTTAAGAACGTCTCCTTGATTCCTTTACTAACTTATCTAGAGATAGGGCTTCTGGTCTCCAGCAGCTTACCCACGAAGTGGGACAGAGAGAGTGGCAAGTGGACATGCATGGTCAGGTGTTCCAGAACCAAACAGGACAGCACCACAGGGTCTACGTAAGTCAGAGTGGTCGGGAGTCATCTCTGAGGTGACATTCAAGTCAAGACCAGACTGGCCCGAAGTCGGGAACCATGGAGCTGAATGAAGCAAGTGTTTGTGTGTTGTGTGTGTGTGTGTGTGTGTGAGAGAGAGAGAGAGAGAATATGAATTAATAGATAGAACAGATAATAAAACACTCACAGTGGTTTCCTGGGCATCCCCTGACACTCGCCTTACCCTCAGTGTGAGTTGGTTGGGGCGGGGTGGGGCTGGGGTGCTTGTTATGTTAATTCCTCTCAAAAAAGACGTTCCCCATGAACTTCAAGTACCTGTGAAACAGCCACATCACACAGTATGGCGCTGCCATGTCAAGGGCTTCAGGAATTCTGGAATGGGCTTCCTGGGAAAGCAGGAATTTGAGTGGAGTCTGGTGGGTAGGACCAGGTGAATGGGAGACATGTCAAGCACGTCACAGCAGGTGTGAGAGCATGGAGGGACATGTCACACAGAGCCCACAAAGATGTACCTTCCCCGCCCTGTCACCTTTCCAGAAGGGGACAGGTGGGTGTGAAGGAACCCAAGAGGCAGTGTCCTGACACCAGGGAGTCGTTGAAGATGTTGGAGCAAGGGAATGGACAACGTACATCAGAGGGCTGAGAGCCAGGGTAGACACACTCACAGGCACTACTGCCCAGCCAGAAGTCACTTAGGAAAAGTCTGGCACAGAGAAAATGAGATGCTCTGTAGGTGTCCTGTGGCGTAGTGGTTCTGTGTTGGGCTGCAATCCGCAAAGGCAGCAGTCTGAAACCGCCAGCCGCTCCATGGGAGAAAGACAGTCTCTCCATTCCTTAAGGAGTTAGAGGCTCGGGAAGTTCGACTCCGTGGTAGCAGTAGGTGCCGTCGCTTGTTAATGGCATGACCATTTCCTGCAGCCCCGGCGGGAGGCCCGTGGATCGGCCGGCGGTGTGTGCTTCACCACGACTAGGAAGTACTCTGGCTTCACTGTGCAGAGCGGGCCAGCACATTGCGAACTCCTTGCATTCATCTCTGTATCCTCTGCAGGGGCCGAGGGTGGGACCCGGCAAGAGTGTGGTGAAGGCGGACCCCATGGAGGCAGAAATGATGTGTGGTCATTCTTGCATGGGTCTGATGAGAAACTGAGCCCCAAGCTGGAGGCGACTGACTCCACTAGGCCAGCATTCCCCAGACATGACCCGTGGCAGGATACTGCGCCCCCAAACCTAGTTTTCAGGGAGCTTTGCCTCTTACAATTGCCACTCCCATGGTTTTGCACACGACAGGCTTCAACCATGTTAACTCTGCTTGACTGAATTGCTCAAACCTAGTAGATAATGGAGTCCTCACGGATCCTTCCCTCGGGCAAGCTGGCAGCACTTGCTGACCCCCATCCAGAAGAGCCAGAGTGCCCCCGAATGCACACTGGACATGCTGCCCTGGGGGAGTCGCCACCTGGACACTCCTGGAGTAGGGAGCGGGCTGCTGCATCCCTTGGGGCTTGAGAACCTGAACATTTCCATAAAGAACTTGGCCTTTAAATGTCACCTCAGAAAAATCGTTTCCCTTTTCCATCTGTTGAAGGGATCACAGAGACCTGCTGGCTCAGTGGGGCCAAGGGTTGGGCTTGGTTCAAATCTACAAGGTCAGTGGTTCAAATTCACTAGCCACTCCATGCTCCCATAAAGATTTACAATCTAGGAAACTGTAGGGAGTTCTACTCTATCCTACAGAGCTTACTTGCGGGCAGTGTTTTGAGCTTTATAGGCTTGATATGATAGGAATTGAGTTGTTGGCAGAGGGTTTTTTTGAACCTGTTCTCTGGTGCCCGAGTTAGAGATCATGTTTTCTTTCTTATTGTCCCCTGAAGCTAGGGCGCCCCCGCCCCCCCCACCAGTGAGAGGGCCAGTGTGGTGCGTCGGGAAGGCCAGGTGCAGCAGGAGGCAGAGAGCACGCTGTATGTGGAGGAGACCCAGGCCGGGGATGCTGGCTTCTACACCTGCCGGGCCACCAACCTCCAGGGAGTGGGGACCACCACCACCCGAGTCTGAGTGATCCGGAGCCCCAATGTCTCCCCTGCCCCTTCCTGCCCCCTCCCTGGCTGCAGGCATCTGGGTGTGGGCAATGGTTAAAAACAGGGTTAGGCACCTGTGTGACCTTCAGTGGTTTTTATGCCAAAGTCAAGGAGGGGCCCCCAAAGCACAGAAAGCACCTGCTCATTCACCGTTTACTGTCACCACCACCCGCCACCCCAACATGTTTTCTTCTCTCCCTTCCCCCTCATAGCCCCATTTGAGGACCGAAATGTTTTGAAAGCCTGTCTTCACCCTAAGCCCAGGCCTCACCCCTAAGCTGGACCATGGCTAGGACCCGCTGAATCCTTCAAAGGGCCCTACTGCAGACCAAGGGGCTCAGCCAGGCCCTAACAGGCTCTCCCCTATCCCAGGAAGACACGGAGGCTAAAGAAAGATTGTGTGTTCTCTTTAGTTCCAGAGCTTGTCCACCTAGAGGTGGGGGTGAGCTAGTTCATCTCCTCACAGCCACCTCAGACAGTAGCAGGGAAGACCACCCCTCCTGAGGACTTGCCTGTCTCCAGCCCTGCTCCTCGAAATTAAAACGGGATTCTAAAGTGCGCCCTGCAGGCTGAGGCGCTGGCCCACCCAGGTGGGCTAGAAGCCTGGTCAGGAAGGTTGGGAAACTCCTTGGACATTTGCGACACCCCACATCACAGGAAAGGCTCTGGGCCAACACAAGGGAAGGCGCTTCTGGGCCTCAAGGCCCTGTGGGTGCCCCCCCGCCCCCACCCCAAGCCCCCCAGGGCTCTCCAGGGGCACATTCTGGCTCCCCAAACCACACCAGCTCCGGGCGTTCCTCTCTGGGAAGGAAACGCAAGGCCCCGCTGTCTTCCCAGGAAAGTCCTCGAGAGGGAGCCGTAGCCACAGGCGGTACAGCAGGCCGGGAGCTCTATGTGGCAGCCAGGAAAGAGACCTC